GTTTTTGATGAAATTAGATAGCAATACGTTGTTCTAGTGGTGACTGATAATGAAGCTGCACTGAAAGCTGCAGGCAAAATGTTAATGCATTTATATTGGACAGCTTGTTTGGCACATTGTATTGATCTCATGCTAAAAGACATAGCCACTGAGAAAAGTGTAGCAAAGGTGATTGAAGATGGTAAAACCATCACCAATTTCATTTATAATAATGGATGGGTGTTGGATTTAATAAGAAAATTCACTGGAGATAGAGAATTGATTCGACCTGCCATCACTCGATATGCTACAAATTTTATTACCCTTGAGAGCATTGTTAGATATAAACAACAATTGAAAGCTATGTTTAATAGTGACGAGTGGAAGAATTCTGGATGAGGGAAGGCAAAGATTGGGCAACCTTACAAGGTCAAAAAAATTATTTTGGGAAAGGAGTTTTGGCAAAAAGCAACAGAGCTTTGTAAAGTTCATGAGCCACTAGTCAGAGTATTGAGGTTGGTTGATGGGGATGAGAAGCCAACAATGGGTTTCATATATGAAACTATAGATAGAGCAAAGTTGGCAATTATAAGAGATTGTCGCTACTACACTGAGTATTGGAAAATTATTGATACTCGATGGTCTTTTCAATTACATCAAGATTTGCATGTGGCTGGTAAGTGTTACGATTTCAATTATAACATGTATATTTACTTTCAATTATTAGTTGTCTTTTTATTTTTGACGGATATTTTAAATCCTCAATTCCATTATGGTGTTACCTCATCCAATGAAATAATAAGAGAAGTGATGGATGGACTTAAAAAAGTAATTATCAGATTGAAGCCTAATATGGATGCTCAAGTGAAAGCAACAAATCAGATTGGAGTACTTTTAGTCTCATCCATACGAAGACGAGGAATAGATTGAAATATAAGAAAATCCAAAGATTAGTCTTCATCACCTATAACATGAGATTAAAATTGAGACACGTTAAAAGAAGCAGCCAATAGGGGATTTATAGGAGCTTTAATCCTTTTAACTTGGATTACATATTTGAAGAAGATGATCCAATAAGTCTATGAATATATATTCACCCAAAAAAAAAAAGTCTATGAATATAAGAAAGGAAAAATCCTTTACTAGATGGTGTGGATAATTCTAAATAGCTAGATTTGGTCTTAGATGATGATGGCAGTGGGGTGGTGGCGACGACAATGGCGATGGCAGCGATGGAAATAATGGTGGTGGCACCCATAGATATCAAGTTCGACGCACTTCTCAAAGTGACAATAGTGGTGGTTTAACACCATCTGATGGAGGAGGTGATGATGGTGATGGTGGAGGCACTTCTCATGATGAGGGTGGCGGCGACAATAGTGGTGATGGTACTTGTTTTGGTGCAGGAAGTGAAGATTTTATTGGAGGATTTGGATTATGCGATGTTGGAGAACATTATCCTGTTGGAGAACTTGTTGCACTGTTACCCCAACTACCTATGAGGTTTCGTGGTACTGATACACGTAGGGATGAAAGAAAAATAAGAAATAGAGAATAACAGTTTGATTCATCTGATAGTAGTTAGAGTTATCCATATCACCCTTACCCATCTTATAGCAGTGATAGCCAGAGCTATCCTTACCCACCTCAACGAAATTACCCTTGCCCCCCTCAACAACATGGTCCTCTAAGATATGCTTTGCCAAATTATTTACAAGCCCAAGAAGAGTATGTTGATCCTTTTTCAGCCAAGGTATCCATTTTCTCCCTTAGTGCACCAAACAGAAAGGGGTAACATGATGACAACATTCACTTATATATTTCGTATTAGATGGGGTGAAGGTAGCAACAGCAATCAAGCTCAACAATCTGAATCCCAAGATGCACCACATCACTCATTTTGGTGGGGAGAAGGTAGCAGCAGTAATCAAGCTCAACAATCTGAATCCCAAGATGCACCACGTCACTCATTTTGGTGGGAAGAAGGTAGCAGCAGTAATCAAGCTCAACAATCTGAATCCAAGATGCACCACGTCACTCATTTTGGTGGTACATTATGTAATTTTAGTACTGACATTATGTAAAATGTAATCTCTGTTATTTGTGAATTGTGCTATGATGTTATGTACTTTGTTAGATTCTTCCATTAAGAATGTATACTTTTTTTAAAACTATTTAAGTTAAAATCTACATATGCTTCCACAAGTATAATAATTAAAAATAATTTTATACATCTAAGTCCAATAAAAGAAAATTTTGCCACAAGTGTAATATGGATTTATGACATATAAAGTCATTAATTATTGAAACAAATGTAAAAACTCACTTTATAGTGATTTAAAAATATGAAATATATTGGATCATACTTAAAAATTATCAAAAATTTATGAACGTTTATTTTAAAACCCAATAAATATGATTCTGAAAAGAGAAAAAAAAATATGCGTATCAGTAAATTTTTTTCAAATTGTGCAAAAAAATAAAAAAATTCACAATTCCGGTTATCGCAATTGTTATACTACGGCCTTTACACTTCGGAACTGCAACCATGCCACCGCCACCGTTACGGAAACCGCAACCGTTTTTTAGAACCTTGTATATGAATGTATGAAATAGGTTGAGTGAGAGAGGTAGTCTCTCCAATGGGTGAGTGAGAGAGTTGGATCTCTCTAGTGTGGTGAGAAAGTGAGAACTGTCAAAGGAAAAATAGAAATGTATGGTGTGAGAGAAAATTGGGAAATTTAGCCAAAAATCCTTCATTTAAACTGTATCTTGCGAAAAGGACAAAAAATATTTAATTAGTTTGTAAACTCCTCCAAATAGAGAACTCTCCTTTATGCAAGACAAACATTTGGGAGCTTCTATTTGCACACACCAATTACACTCTATGCACACACTTAATGATAACTATTTTTATTACAAATTTATTTTTAAGTAAAATTACTATTATGCAAATCACACACAATTCAAATAAACACATTCAGAAGTTGAATGTCGAAAAAATGAAAAAAATTCGGAATTCTATTGTCGAAAGAAATGATAATTTCGAAATGCTACTTCCGAACAAGTTGTTTATTAAAGAGGATGTGCACAAAGTGTAATTGGTGTGTGCAAATAGAAGCTCCCCAAACATTTTTGAAAGTATATTTTTTTAGACAATTTTGCCCTACTTTATATGTAGCAGTGTTGTAATTCAATCGTTATTGCATCTTCTATCATTATTGTGTCTTCTCTCTCTCTCCCTCTCTCTCTCTCTCTCTCTCTCACACACACACACACACACACAGCTCTCTCCCACAAATCTTCACCATATCTGCATATCATCTCTCATACCTCCACCATCTCCATCGTCAATTGGTGTTGCTCATCGTCATAATCATCCGAAGAGAAAGTTATGAGTGATGATTTTTTCAGATCTTGAGACAGAGAGCTTATTCCTCATGTGCAAACAACGAAGCCATTGATTGAGGATGAACTTTTGCTATTTTGATCTTCTTATCATTTCTATGGCGGCATTTTTCTAGATATATTCATAGATCCGTGTTATCTTCTTGGATGTTGGATTTCATGGAGATCTTTATAGATTTCATCTTATACACACTAACATTGTTCAAATCGACAGGCAAAAATATCATTCAAGCACAAAAATTTTTAGATTTTTTAGTTATGTTTGTGGAATTTGTATTGAGTTGTTTCAGTTCATGGAATCTACGTTTTATTTTTAGTATCTTATGGTGTTTCGTTAGATTGCGTATCTATTATCCCAAAAAAAAGACTTGTAAATTTTACTATAAATCAGATTAAAATTTTACTATTATTCATTCAGAGCAACATTTTATTGTATTTTTGTTATCAATAATTTTTTATTTTGTTGTGCTGGTGAATTTTGGTGGAGATTGGATGTCTTTCTTTTTCTTTTTCTTTTTGGGTGAATAAATGATGTCTTTCTTTGATAACTCCACCTTGCAAAGTTGTAGGTTCTAATGCTCTGTGATAGTGGAGTTTTAATTTAGATCACAAATTCATACAGTAAAAGTTAAAAATTTTAATCTGGTTTGAATGTTTTAAAAGTTAAAATTTTACAATAAAATTTAACTACGAATTAGAATAAAATTTTATTTTATACGTCAATTTTGACGATATTTTTTAAAAAAAATTTTATAGGCAACCTAAATCTTATTTAATAGATCCGGATAAGAGGATTTTAAAAATGCTAATTTTATTAAAAACTAATATCTACATCAAAAAATATATAATTTTAAAATTTGAAAAATAAAAAGAACATTTCTGCCCATAAATTATAAAACTATACGTGTTATCCTTAATGCAGTACAAATAAAGGGCATTTCATTTTTGCATGAAAACTTCACAAGCAAGGGGCTTTCACCAAAAATCCTAAGAAAATACCGTAATGCACAAAGGTGAGTAAAGACTCAATTAACTTGACATGAGATTCAAGTAGTGACATAAATTTTAAGTATTTTTAACCATTTCACACGTACTCTATATCTTAATATATAGTAATTTATCTCTTTCGTAAATGTAAATGTAAACATTGAAACCAAACAACATTAATTATTGTGTTCTTTTCTTGACCATTTTATTTTGAAAAATGCTATAGGCCTCAAATTTTTTACCAAACAAATAACCAAATGCCTCACATGAATATGGATATTTGGCAGAAAAATTAATATCCCTCACATTATCCTTTTATTTTATCTTTGCTTCCATACAACAATAATTATTGTGTTCTTGACTATTTTATTTTATCTTTGCTTCTATTGCATTGGTGGGTTATTTCAAGGAATGCAAACAGAGTGGCGTATTGGGTTGCTAATCCTCTCCTCCTGAGCTAGTACATACACACACACACAAATAAAATATAAAAATAAATAAAAAAAGAAGAAGAAGATAATTCAAGGTGAGGCATACTCGTTGGAAAAAAAAAAGTGAAGTGTAGCAAAAATGGTGAAGCTGGCTGGGCCAAAGAAATCTGTGCAAAAAAAGCAAAGGGGAATGCATTGCATTCAAGCAGCTACTCTCGTATAAAGATTGATAATAACTTGGCTCTGAAATAAATATGATGGCTTTTTGGTAAGATTACCATATCATTTGTGAGATGCTCAGTTTTGGCCTCATCAAAGGTAATTTTGCAATATGGATATAACGAAAATGATCATATACAAACACACACTCAAAACATGAGACAAATTCAAACTTCTCTAAGCACAAACAAATCAGTTTTGAAGCCCATATCAAACTGCCGTTTGAAAATCCCCAAAGTCGTCGTCTGGTATATCATGTGCGCTTTGATTTTGACGAGAATGTGTTTCTTTTGATTGTTCTGTCAAGGAGGCTGAGCCTTTGTCGTCTGGAGTTCCCTCAAGACTCAAACTTGATGGTGGGTCTGAGGGTGACTTTGCAGCACCAACAACAGGTGAAAGGGGTGCTGGTGGAGGTGGTAGCGGTTTGATACAAATTGCAGAAACTTTTGGGTTGCCTTTTTCCTCCAAAGAAAGATTATTCAAACCCTGCTCGAAAAACTTGGACCGTACACTCCGACCACTGTTCTGTTAACACCAAAAGGATGATATAACCTGTTAGAATACTCACAAACACTTATATTATAGTTGTCTCACAGAAGTAAAATCGAAATGGGAGCCTACATTCTTTAATTGAAGAACAAGGGTCTCCCCATCTTTTAAACTGTAATCAAATGATGAACTTTTCTGGTACTGCTTTTCCATCTCTTCTGCAGTTTTCTTTTTGTTCAGGTACCTTTAAACAATTTAAGAAGATAGCTACTTTAGCAGGAGCCAGGAAGTTTTGCTGATTAGAGTTCATTTTAGAAAACCAATTTCATAGACAGTCACAATATACAGCATATGACCGAAAAGAGTTCAAAATGGATATGAACATATGGGAGAATACTTCATATGGTCATGAAGGGCAGCTTGGAAGTCATAAGCCTCAGGTCTTTCTCGAAAACCTATACCAATGAAAGCATGCCGGAGGCGGCCACCTGCATAAGTTCCATTTAAGTATCACCTTTAAAATAATAGAAATGGAAGGCTGAAGATAAAAGCTAAAGTAGCAGTAAGATCTGGTGTCAATAGTTGTCGGTGTAAGCTTCATGGTTTAAAGATCTCTGTTGGGCTACCAGAAAGGTTGCTATTAGACATTGCAACTATGAATGAATATGGTTTTGCATTATTGTGAAGAATTTAGGAGTAACAGCTTCTAGCACCTTGAGCTAACTACCCACAATGAAGATGTTAACTTTGGTTGTAAATTTATGGGTTATTTACAGCAAGACCTCCTCAACTACTAGTGAATATCACTTTACCCCCCTCATCTAAAACCCGGACATTTTAACCCACTCAACTATAAAAGTGTATCACTTTCACCTCCAGCAAATACCCTGTATACCATAGTTGAGGAGGTCATTATGTATGGGTTAATAGAAGAGAATGGTAAAATGATATTCACTAATAGTTGAGGGGGTCTTACTGTATTTAACCCTAAATTTATAGAGAGTCCAGCATCCAGCATTTCATATCTTACATGCATAATAAACAGCTCCGGATACACATGATTTACAACAAGGCAAAGAAACATAATGGATTATGCACCAGAAGACAAAAACAAATGGGCAAGTCATTGTAGGCTAATCTGATACAAAAAAAATAGTAAATCTTTTCTTACAATCATTTTTTTTTTTTTTTTTTTCCATTCTTTCTTCTTGGTTATAAGCATTACTTCTACAGTGGAGGCATACTCAGGTATTAATAGATATGTGTCCGATACAATATATGTTTCAACCATGTATGGAAGCCGAATGCTGTGCATCTACAATTCAGAGTGTCGGGTTTCCATAAAATAATAATATATCAATGTTGAAGTTTTTTCTTCGCAGTTCTCTAGTCCTTACCGATTTAATACAGAGGATACAGCTTCTATCTAGAAAATGTGGCCTAAGCATTATTCCTAAGAAGTGGAGTTCATTGGCTAGAAGGCTACGCTGAACAAATACATGGCCGCTTGCAAAACAAACAAAATCATGATTCATGAATATGGTTGTTGAAGGTCAGAAGATCCATCACTAACTTGGTATACCACATTAATCTAGGAGATGGTACTTAATACCACACTAGATTAGTAGTTTGGTACTAAATTATACCTTCTGTATACATTCCGGTTGGATAAACTATGTTATTGATGGTAAATCATAATAATGATATATCTTTGATGATGCAGCTGTATTAAATACAATTTCACTATATTTACCAAGAAATGCGAATTTGGACTCAGATTTTTTTTTTATCTACATATTTGATTTGGATCATTTTAGAGAGCACACAATCTTTTACATGGACTTGGGTAAAGGTGTCTGGTGGAGGGTGTGTATCTAGAGGTCGGACTCATCAAATCTTAAATTTAAGGGTATGTGAACTCGGGAAAAAATGTCATATTTTTAAATTTCTAATCTATTATGTGAGATAAAATAGTCTTATATGTAACACATAGTGTCAAAAAGACACTTAATAGTAATTATACAACAATATATACATATAATAATAGCGTACAAATATATAAGAAGTGTTCGATGAAAAGTATCTAACACATTTCGTATTTGATTGCTTTTGAAGAGTCCATGAATCATAGGTGAGGAAGCAAATTACTGTTACCTATCTAAGAAGCATGAACACTTCCAAGAAAGCAACACTTACTAAGGGGGGAATTTTCAACACGACACAATGTTAAAATCCACCTACTCTCCACCTACTTCACCCACTTAAACCTACTCCACTAAACCTAACCCACTACACCACTACCACCTCCACTTGACCTACTCCTTACCTACTACACACTCACCCTCTTCTATATATAGGAATCATAAATCATTGTAATTGATATCAATAAACATCAATCAATAATACATAAATTTTTTACACACAATAACACAACTTGAATCGTACATGAAGTTAATAGATTAGGACTGACCATTTTTTGACACAAACAAGTATATGAAACAACCCGATAACACATATTTAATGAAGAAATTGTTACACATTTAAATAAAATTTTCATTACGGGGTGTCATGACATTTTTTAATCTTTTATGTAATTCCATTCAACTTATTAAAAAGCATATAAAATAGGATTTGAAGGATAGTATAGGCTTTGTTTTTGTTTTTGTTTTTGTTTTCAATTGAAGATACTAAATTTTTTGTCCACTATTTGAGTTAATCTAGTAAAAAAATATATAATGGTGAAATTAGGAAAATAAAATTGAGTTGAAATCAAATATTCTTATGAATAATTTCATTCAATAGAGATTAGATTTATTAAATGTATAACTTGTGGAGAAGAATTTTGTAGAAATTTAATGTATAAAGAGAAATAGAGAATTGTATTATTGATTGATATATATTGATTTCTATTACAATGATTCATGATTCCTATATATAGAAGAGGGTGAGTGTGTAGTAAGTAAGGAGTAGGTGAAGTAGAGGTGGTAGTGGTGTAGTGGGTTAGGTTTAGTGGAGTAGGTGAGGTGGTAGTGGTGTAGTGGGTTAAGTTTAGTGGAGTAGGTTTAAGTGGGTGAAGTAGGTGGAGAGTAGGTGGATTTTAACAAATTTTAATTTTTTCTTACACTTGAGATTTTTAGATAATGGTGAAATTTTTTGACATCGCACGTTAACACAACATGAACCAGATATGAACCAAAAATGACACAACACAACCCGATAACATGAAATTATAAATGAGTTGGGTTAGTGTTGAGGTAATTTCGATACAAATCCAAAACAACACAACATGAATACAACCTAACAGGACACGACACTCACTCCTACATGAAACACATTAAAAATTTGAATAAAATAACTTGGAATATAATGATAAAATAAAAACAATGTAAATTTATATCTATTTTCCTCCTTTTAGACTTTTTAAATTGTTATATTTGACTTAAATATGACATATAACAATTATTTATTTTCATCTATATGACATATAATTATATATATATATAATTATATATATTACATGTATCTCTCATATGTTGTGTCTTGCATTTTTAAAAAATTGTGTTGGCATGTCAATGTTGTGTCACGTGTCCAGCTTTTTAACTCCCTATGTTATGTTTGAAATTCGTTTGCAGAAGTTTTCACCGAGGCTTTCTGAAAAAGATCAATTTTCAAGTTCATGTAACAAGATAGGCATAATAAGTTTAGGGTTTAGGGGGAGTGCTACAGTGGGATGTATTAGATAGTAAGAAGGGTAATTCTATAATTTTACTAGAAGTTATAAGATTAAAGAGGGGGGTTATTTGGTTGGACACCCCAATTTGAAATTTGAATTTTACTAATTTCTTTGAACAACCCAAATAATACCAATTCGATCTGAAATCCCAAACTACTTCTTTGGACACCCCACACAAAGCCCATCATCTTCCTTTCCAGCAACCATTGTCTTTCTCCCACACCCCACCCCAGCATCCATCATCATCCCAACAAGTCCCAACTTCTGTCCTCGTCCCAACTTCACTTAATCCCCTCTTTCCCCACAACCCTCTTCAAACATCATCAATCTTTTATCTGAAAGTGGGTTTGTATGATTTTTAATGGATGTATTTGATAAGCTTTGCAGTTGTTATAAAGCTATTTGAAAGTGGTTTTGTATGATTTTTAGTAGATTTGTACGATTTGAAAATAAATCCATCAAAATTCTGCTCAAAACTTTGTTCTGACTTCAAATGCCAAACAAACTTAAAATGTTCGGACTTGTGTGGTTGGACAAACTTGAAATGTTCAGATTTGTTCGAAGGAGAACAAAACTAATTTATTCAACTTTTGGGCGTTCATACATTATGGGGATGGGAGTGACGGGGGATGGCTGCCGTGGTGACTGGAAGTGTAGGAGGTGACAGTGATGGTGGTCGAAAATGGAGATGGAAGTAGCTAGTGAGTATCCAAACAAATGGTAGGTTTTTTTTTTTTTTTAAGAGGATAAAATCACAAAAACAAACAAAAAAACAAAAACAAAAAAACCCAAAGTTTGACCCTCTTAACAAATCAAACCCCAAGTTTTTAATTTCTACAATTTAAACCCTAAATTTATACTTTTGTCACGATCTCAAACTTCCGTCTATTTATGTTAAACGGAACTTTTCTGCTAGACGATACTTACAAAATAATATTTTAATAATTCCGCTCACCATTTTTTAATATATATATATACATACGTATATAATTATAATTTTATTCAAAACTGACTCCTCTTCTCACTCACTACCGCGACTGCCACCATCAGCGGTGGCACTCCCACCACACCTCATTCAGACTGCCACACCCACACCCCTTTCATCAGATCATCATCACCTTCCCTGCCAATCCCTTTGCCATTGGACGCAATACACAGTTTTCTTCAAATGAGTAATATGGCTTCAATCCAAATTTTTGCCATGGAATCTTCCAAGCCTAAACAGACTAAACAATCTTCGAAGCATCCCGTCTCCGCCAATAACCAATAACCAACATATATCCAGCACTAATTAATTTAACAAACAACTATAATTAACACTAGTGTATTTGTAGAGATATATACATCTGTATATATGTATATATATTTTGCAGAAGATAATAAAGTGACAAAAGAGGCTTCCGCCACTCCCTCCATCATCAGATTTGTCCCTTCCTCCATTAGATCTGCAACATGTTCCTCAGATCCACAACCTCCGCTAGCCCTTCCTCAGATCCTTCACTTCATTCATCAGATCCATCACCCACTGTCTTCCCCTGCCACCTCTCTCCTTCAGCCCCTCTCTCCATCTCTGTTCACCACCACCGCTCCAGTGGGCTTTATTGTTGTTGTTCCTGTAGCGCCTTAGTGTCACCAAAAGAAGAAATATCTAGAGATGCAGTAGTGAGAAAGGGGGGAAGGGGAAAAGGAACAGAGAGAATGAGGATGAAGTGGGTGGCGAAGGAAGAGGGACAGTTAGTGGTTGCCGGTGACAGG